GAAAGAAGGGAGAAAAAAGAAACTTTAATTCACTGACTTAATTTCCAACTCCAAAAAATTGCTTGACCTGGTTTTGCCAAACAATAGACACATATTTACAAGGCCAAAAAAAATAAACACATACTTAATTAATGCCCCAAAAGTTACACATCCTGCCTTCTGGCTCCGATGGCACAATCAAAACACTGCTTTCCGGCACCGCTGGAGCTGCCTCCGATGAGCTGGCTTGGTCGGACCCGACAATCTTCTGACACGTCTCAATCAAACATTGCCGGCATTTTGGACAGGACGAATGTGATTTAAGCCACTTATCAATACACCCAACATGGAAACCATGGTTGCACTTGGGCAGGAGCCGCAGGCTCCCACCGGACTCAAACTCCGACAAGCATATAACACATTCCGTGTCCAAGCCTGGCAGTTTCTCTTTCATCTCCGCTGAGTAATTTACCACCGGAAAAGTCTTTAAAGCCTTTTCCTTGATTCCCCTGTTCGCTGGGGAAGTTGCAAGGTTGACTCCTGAGGCAGAGGCCAATGAATTTGTGCACCTCAATGCACACTTGAGTACGAAGCTTAACCCAAATGAGCAAATTACGCCACACAAGATGACCGAGATGACCACGAAGGCACTGTTGTCAAAGGCGGTGATATCCTCCATGGAAGGATGAGGCGCGGCCACCGGCGGTGAGGTAAGAGGCAGAGGACTGTGTAGTATAAATTTTCTAGAGTAGTGAAGGGTTCCAAGAAAATCTTGGAAAAGTTGAGGGGATGTAGAAGAAGTTGTAGACATGTTTAGAAGCTAGAACGTGCTGCTGAAGTTAGAATGGTGGGAGGGAGTGAAGTACAGGGGATTATAAACAGGGGAAGCTGAAGACATGAATGCTTCTACCCACTTTTTTTAAGATTTGGACCCACTAAATCATGGATAAATATAAAGTTCATCAAAAGTTGGATATTTGGCATTAGATATTTTATTAGTTTTTTGGTCCCAAAAAAGATATTTGTCTATGTTAATTGTATGATCAAAGTGATTTCTGCGGCTGGTTTTGGGTTTTGTTAGATAGATTTCTAGAGTTGTTAAATATATGCAGAGTCAGACTCAATTCAGTTTGAGACATCTTTCTATCTGGCCTATTAGAATTCTCAGGACATGAATTTGAATGCGTAAGCTCGTGGTAGGCGAGTTGCTAACAATTAAATAAGTGAGTGATAATTTTTTAATAGTGAAATTATGTGATTTTAAATTTGCATTGTATATTATACACAGGTAAAATGAATTAAAGGACATGAAATGATTTCTAAAAGAGGTGAGTTTGAGTTTCACTTCAATTAAAAAGGAAAAAATATATATTTTTTACAAATCAAAATTATTTTTAACTATTAGTAGTAATTTAAATAATTTAATGATAATTTTTTCTTCACAAGAAATTACATTTTTAAATAAATTTGGGCAAGAGCGAAGCTAGAAATTGATGTTAGGGTGGTGAACTTGTTTGAATTTATGTAAATTGAAAATGAATTTCATGAGAATGGTGACTTTTAATGAGATTGAAAATTATATTAGATTTAAATTACATGTCATATATAGCGTTGGTCTGAAATTTATACTCTACCACATATCCAGATTTCAATTTTGAAACAGCATTTCTACTAAAAAATATATTAATTGATATGGAGTGAAGTAAGAGGTATTATTTAAGTTTGAGTATAAGCATGTAGTAGGGGTGAATAAAAGGATAAGAGAAAATAGTTTTTAATTATTTAATTCAAAATAATAATAATAATAATAGCAAAAAGAAAAATTCTTAACAGTCAAATGATGATACCGATCTTAATCATACTCCATTATTGATGTTTTATAATAAGATTTCTTTCATCTACTCGCTACTTAACAAGTCTAAACTCAAACTCAAGAACTTAGTTTTGAGTTTTGGACATAAACAAGGAAAAAAAAAAGAAGGTTAAATTGAATTGATCCACTAAGTTATGGAAAAAAACATTGTTCTTTAAGATAACTACAAAACTGTGAAGAAAACATGAGGCATGATGCACTCAAATCCAAAATTACCAATTGATGTTGACACTCAATCCCTGGGATACAGTCATTGTTGTTCTTGATCTAATCTCAGTCGGATGAAGCGGTGATGGTCCCTTCTGCATATATATTTATTTCCCACCCCCATCTATCCTTGCCATTGTGTTTGTGATATTTGAAATCCAGTATTACTCTGATCACCACCTGATGTGTTCCAAATAAATTATTCCAACATTGTGGCTCTTGATTAAAGCTGAATTGAATAATCTATTAAGATCTAACTTAGAGGGAAAATCTTTGGAAATAATATTAATTATCTAGAATTTAATTATATTTATATGTATAGCTGATACATAAGGTTGATGCAACTTGGACTAAAAGTTTTATCTCTTACAATTGTTAACAAGTTAATACATGCTTTTCATTAGTTTAATACAAGAGCTTGTTTTGTTTGATGGAAATAGAGTGCATGAGAGGTGAATTCCCTCACTTAAATAGATTAAAATAACAAAGGAAATAAAAACAAGAAATAAAAAAATCTTCCTCCCTCCTTGCTCTCCAGCTTTCTTGTTATCCAAATGAAGGGATTATTTTTACCTTCCTTTCTCGTTCCTTTTTTTCATTTCTTTCAAATTAAATAGGACTAAAACAATACTCTTTTCACTCTCTTTATCCAAAATTCATGCCCCTACTTGTGAGTTTAAATATTTCTCTAACTTTCTCAAGTTCTTATCTATTAAAATACTTAAGGGGCATTTAATACATTTCTTACAATGTTAAAGTTCATATTCAATAAAAACAACTAACCAAGTGGGGAGATTTTATTTATTTTTACTTCCATTATCAAACCACCCAGTAAGGCTGGAGGATAAGGTTCAATAAACTGCTTTTGCTTTTGTATATACTAGAAATAGTAATACTAGATGGATTCATATCTTCTGAATTGGAACTCATTGAGGGCAAGGATCTCTGTGTCTTTGTGAAGATACACACGCGTTAATCATTAACAATTTTCAAAATGTGACTCACATCACATTTTTTGGTCATAATGATAGTGTACGTATTGAATTTCTAACTTTGATTGGTAAAGAATTAACGAAGGGGGTTTGTGTTCACACACTTGTAGCACAAGTGGTCGAGAGACGGGTTCAAATTTCCGCACTTGCAATTACAAAAGTAGTACTTTAGTTTAAGTTTAGATCACTTAAGAAAAAAACAGCTCATCAAGATTATGTCTATCATATAATTTCACTTTAACAAACCAATGATGCTTTATATTTTCCAAACCTTTAAAATGAAGTCATGAACATGAATTTTGAATACTCAAGTTGTGTTTGGCTCCTTTCACGTAGTTTTTATGCATAATATTTTATTAAAAGTATTAATTTATTATAATTAAATTAATTGTAATTAATATTTTGTATGAGGAAAATGATGAATACATCATCTAATTCAATAAATTTTTTAATATTTATCTGATTTAATTGTTAAAATATATATAAATATATCTAATTTGATCGATTTTTGTATGCATGCTATATATTTAGTGTTGTCTCTTTAAATTTACTTGTTTTTAATTTTAAGCTAAAAAATAATAGTTTTTAATGAGTATATTGTATATTATTTTGAATCGAAAGATATATTAACTAGTGTCCTTGATATAATTTAATAATCATATTGATGTACAAGCTTTTTTTTAAATAATTACTAAATAATAACATAATTTTTATCATAACAAAATATATTTAAAAAAAAGTACAACTACAACAATTCATAGCAAAGCACAGACCATCTTAAAATATTCATGATGGAAACATATATGGCCACCGCCTTGATAAGTTGAGGGGCATGTTTTGCCTATATTAAAAAGTTGATTGATCTCTAATTCATTATGCATTTAGAGCATCACATCATAAAAAATCAAATGGATGGACATCGGGAAAGTTGTGATAAAAAGAAAAGGTTAAAAACAAAAAAGTATAGGAGACAAAGAAAGGAAATATGGTATCAAAGCGAGGAGCGAGGCCAGTTTTTGGGAGGATTCCAGGAAGTTTCGCGTAAAGGGCATCATGTTTTTGCGCATTTCTGATGTGTTGGGGGGAAATCATACGACACAAGCAAAGCCGCACGATGAGTGGAAAGTAAAGTCAGTATGCAATCTAATTTATGTTTATTGGTGAAAAATAAAGTCATTATTAGAAGGACTCAATCTTCCAGTGATTTGTTGCTATTTAGGCTCCTTTCCTCTCCCTGCTTTGTACGGCTCCATGGACCCATGTACGTTTGCTTCAAACAATCGCACCATCCACAACGCCACATTAACTTTTACACGTTTTAAAATTATTCTTTTTCTTCGCTTGATTATAATGTTTTCATATTAGTTTTCGTGAATTTTGGAAGTAATTTTTTTTAATTAAATTTTTAATATTCAAAAATTATATTATATTTTGATTAATTTAAAGTCAAATTAAATCATATCCTATAAAAAGAAACTTTTTAATATCTACTTCTTTATATATAAAATTTAAATTTAAGATTTTATTTTAAAAAAATCAATTTTTTTCTATTTAAATTAATAAATCATTGGTTAGAATTAAAATTTTTAAACGATATTAAAAGTGCATTTCTTTTATCAATTTTATATATTTTAAAAAAATTAATTAATTTAAATACTGATATCAATATTTGAATCTTAAATTTAAATTATAATACTATAGATTCAAGCTTGGGATTACACTAATTCCTCTCTTTTCGTCCACAAACTACACCCGAATGTGGAAATGGAATGGGAAGTCGTTGAACTGAAACCCAAAACTGTTAATTCTTTTGGGCCCAAGAACCACACCTGGTCCATATTAGTTAGAATCAGGTCTGGTCCTACGGAAATTCCAGGGTCTTAGTAGACTCGGTCCACTCGGACCTGCACAAGGTATAGACTAATAAACCCGAATTAATTATCCAAAATTTCAAATTCGGTTTAGTTAAAGGGAATAATTGAATTATTTATATATTAAATACAGAATAATTTTAAAATTGTACTGAATTATATTTTGGTTAGAATATTGATAAGAGAAAAAAATTTTGGTTAACATAAACCAAACCAATAAAAATTATGCAAAGAAATTATTTATTTATTTATTTATTTTTCTAAGTATCTGAATCTACCTAAATATTTCCATCTTTTATTCCTTTTGAGTCTGCCCTACAAAAGTTCTCGACATAAGTAAAGAAAAAAAATGAAAAAATATTAACAAAAAAGAAGAAAATTAAATTTGGCTAATATGTGTACCATATTGAAATAAATCAAAATGTTTTGATAACCAAAATTTATAAGCAAAGACAATTCAATTTGGATTTTGAAATAAAAATGTTTCAACCAAAATATCTAGTTCAACTTTGTTTTGTTTATTCAAACGCACATGCTTATTATTTAAGGGTTGTGTTTGTTAGTAAACAAATTTTGTCTTATAAATTAAATTTGAGATTAATGTCTTAAAATTAATATTAAAAAATATCATTTAAAAATTTAATTTTTTTAAATATATTATACTGATATAAGAGATATGTCCTTAAATTACTCTCAAAAATTATAATCCTCAATTAATGAAAATTGAGGAATCCCTAACGAATTGACTATTGTATCAGAGAAAGAGAGAGCACTATAGGTCCGAGATACTTTTAAACCAAATTCACAAGATGTTGTGAAACATATTAGAACCTGCAATTTAAAGGTTTTTTAAATAAGTTTTGAGAGTAAATAAGTTTGCGAGCCCAGCCCACAAATCATAATGAGTCAATAACTTTAACTAATATATTAAAGTGTAATATTTTATGAGATCGTTATTGTAATTTAGTGGTTATATGGTACAAAAACTTTTTATGTTTGTAGAGTTTAAGTTTTACTCCTAATGATCTTTAATTGTAAGGACTTTTTATATTATAATTTAAAGATGTGGGGTTCGAATTTTATTATAATCGAGTGTAATATTTTATAATTTAAATTAAAAAATTATAAAAATATTATTTATTAACTAGATGATCCTTCCTCATTATTATTTATTTTTTTTTTTTGAACATAATCCTTCCTTCCTTCCTTCCTCATTATTAGGCCCTCCTAATCTAATGGATTGAATATGAAATTTAGCCAAGCAAATCCTTAAATTGTTGACATGGCAAGATCAAACTGGGACCAATGAGTACTTGGCCCCACTGACACCTCCTATCAACACACATTCCTTAATCAATAAGAACCCTTCTCCCTCCTCAGTTCTCACTTCCTCTAAATTTCTTTCTAAACTTACAAATAAACAAATAATAATAATAATAATAATAATAATAATAATAATGATTGCATAAAAATATTTAAAAAAATTAAAAAAACAGATAAGCCAATGGAAAAAAGCCCATGCTTCGGCCTCCAAAGTCTTTCTTCCAGTTCCCACACGGCCACACTGTGACCAACTGCTGTGCTTCTTCTCTTTTCCTGGTCCGTGCCGACGGTGAGTTTTTCCTTTTTACTCCTGTTCCTGCTCTTCATCAATCCATGTTTGTATGATGTTTTTATGCCTGAAAAATTATACATGTACGGTTTGGTTCTGCGCTCGAGGAACTGGGAATCTACCCTTTTTGGCTTTCCCCTTCAGTTTTATTCCCCACCCCCCCCAGAAAGAAAATGAAATCGGAAAAAAGGGGAGAGACCCGTGTAGCCAAACGCGTTTCTCGTGGCGGAACAAGTATTGAGCCTCGAGCCTTTTGATGGGTCTTGCTCTTCTTCCTATTTCTTAGTCTATTTGTCCACGTAATTGCGTTATGTTTTAAATATCATATGTTTTTGATAGATATAGGGTTTGCTTGTGTTGGTTGCTATGAGTTCAACCTTTAATGCTATTGATTATGCGTTTTTTGTATGTTTGCTAGCTATTCAAAATTAGTTGGTCTTTAAATAATCTATGTTGCTTGACTTGGTTGCTTTCAATTTGCTCACTTTTGTTTGGTTTCATTTGAATGGGGTTTTGATTTCCTTGTTGCTTATTTAGTTGCAGTGAAATGGTATCAGGTGGAGTTATAAGGCTGTGGTTTTGATTCCATTTAAAGGGTTCGTCGGTTTTTTCAAGTAATCTACACAATATGGCATCATCTCATGGTAATACTCACTCTGAAGCAGCAAAGATGGAGCAAATTATTACTGAATTCTTTGCTAAAAGCCTCCACATAATACTTGAATCTAGGTCTCCTTTTGTGTCATCACGTAACTACAGTGGTGAACAAACCATGTCATCTCCGTCTTCATCCTCATCCTCTTTGTCTAGTGTGAGATCTAGAGATAGGTGGTTCAATTTAGCATTGAGGGAGAGCCCTGCTGTGCTAGAAAATCTTGATCTTTGGCGCCAGAGTAATCCTGAACCTATCATGGTTGATGTGATATTGGAGCAGAGGCCAGTAGATTGGAATCCACTGAATTTTTCTCCTAAAAGGAATCTTGTTAGGAATTTGTCGTCAAAAGAGAGATATCCACATTGCTGCAATTCTGATCAAGAGGAATTAGGCTCTGAGGCAAAGAGTGAAAAGATAATAGAGAGATGGATAGTGCAGTATGAAACTAAAAAGTTTAGGGATTCTAGTTCAGGGGGGAGGAGGTCTAGTAATAATACTTTGCCAACGTTGTACAAGAAAGCAATATTGCTGTTGAGGTCATTGTATGTGACTGTTAGGCTTTTACCTGCTTACAAGATTTTTCGAGACCTCAATTGTTCTGGTCAAATTCATGCCTTTAAGCTTGTTCCTAAGGTATCCTCTTTTGTGGAGCCCTTCACTCGTAAAGAAGAGGCAGAAATGCAGCGTTTTGGATTTACCCCTGTTGACACTTCTAGTGGTAGGCTTTGCCTTTCAGTGTTTTACCGTTCACCACTCTTGGATATGAGCTCTGGGTCATCCACTCCTATGTCTCCACAATTTATACCAGATTATGTTGGAAGCCCATTGGCAGATCCACTGAAGAGGTTCCCCTCTCTTCCTGTGTCACATGGCTCTCCATCCTCTTTGCCATTCTCAAGAAGACACAGCTGGAGTTATGAAAACTATAAGGTCTCTCCATCATCTTTGCCATTCTCACCTTCACCAACACATTCAGAGTCACATGCTTTGGTTTCTAATCCAAATTCTCACCATTTCCCACCCTTTAGCTTGCCTCCTCATCCTCCTGAGACATCACTAGCTCATAAAAAGAGTAGGAACTTTGATGAGTACTGTCCTTCCCCTACTTTTTCTCCCTCTCCCTCACCGTCACCACCAATCTATATTCCTGGGAATCATCAGCCAAAGGCTCTTTTACGTTCTGAAAGTGCTCCAGTGAACATACCTGGTCCTAAGTTTGCTACTTCCCCTGCATTGTCCAACAGGCAAAATTTGCCTCCCTCACCTCCCTGTAAGCTTACAAAGCCCAATACTTCTACAGCTGAGAATATTGTTGGTCCAGATCAAATTGCTGCAAAGATTGATAAGGTATTTTATCTTCTCAGCGTTGTTATCTTGCAGTTTCAGGAGTCCTCTTATTAAGGGTTTCTTTTTGTCTGTTGTAGCTATTGTCTTTTGGGAGAGAAGATAGTAGAAGAACATCTGGGGTGAAGATATCTTCCAACAGCTCACCGCGGATTTCATTTTCACGAAGTTCTAGTAGGTCCTTCCAGGATGATTTTGATGACACTGAGTTTCCTTGCCCTTTTGATGTGGAGGATGATGATAGCATGGATCCAAGTAGCAGGTAATACATAGAAATCATCTAGTAAATTCTACTTCTCAGTTACTTTAATCAAATAATAAACTGATGCCAAAATGTGTTTCTGTAGCATCTTGCCTTCCACTAGTTAGGGATTCATTTCTGGCCCAGTTAACTTGTTGCAGCTTTGTAGGATATTTTATTGGCGAGAGGGCAAAATAGATGAAAAAATTGTCTCAGTAGTGTGTCTAGAATGTTACTCTGCTTATGGAATTAAGAGTCATAACAGCAGGGAAACAGGTCATTTTGCGTTGCCCTCATAAGATATTTGTTTTCAATCATAACAACACCTCTTATTTTGCTTCTCAATTGTCTTGATTCTAATTGTTGTTAGTTTTAACATCCTTTAAGGGAAAGGAGTGATCTTGTGAACACTCTGTTTATGTGTGTTGCATAATAAGGTCTTATCAGTTGTTTGTGTTTTGTGCATGTATGGGACTTCTCCTGAAGTAAAATTCTGGTGGTAATTTCTTGTCTCAAATCATTTAGGTTCAGGGTTTGATTCTGAGTCCTTTATGCCACTGTGTTCTAGTCATTAAGAAGGGAAAATTTTTTAGTTCTCCATTCATGTTTGCTAATTGTCATAGTTCCCTTGCTTATGAAATTGATATATTTTCTGGTCTCTCTTGAGCTCTGATGTTAGCATAAAAAGATGGCCTTTCTAAACAATTTAATGTCATTTTGACTGCATATTAGGAAGTTTAATTCTTCTTGCCTCTGAAACTGCTTACTTTCATTTGTTAAAGTCATAAAAGTAAATTAGTCAATGCATGGTAGATAAAATTGACATCTGAAAACCATTTATCCCTTAAGTTGTTAGATAATAGGTACATGAGGTTTCACATTCTGTCATCCCCTCATATCCAGAGCTTGTAGAGAAATTAGACCTAGCATTTGTGGTAAAACAGAAGCTCAAAAGCAAGACCAAGGGTAACCAATCATGAATGAATTACCAGAAGTTGTTTGGTTTTAAATTTCTTCTGTGTTGGATAATTATTTTTTCCCAATAGTTTCAGCTTTTAGGTGACAGGTCCAACTATGTATGTCAAGCTGTCACATGCTTTGCACAATTAAGTCTACCTTTTGCTTTTGAGGAAAAAAATGGTGGGGCTTAAATTGATGATATTTAGTACACCTTTGGAGTTTGGAAGGGGAGAATGGCATGGCTGGATAACCATAGAGAATTTTCTAGTGGGGTTTTATGTAGCTGGCAACCATTGTAATTGTACTTTTTCTGTTTGTACTAACATGTAACAGTTGTTGATGTGTTAACAAGATATTTCATTTGGATATATTTTTCTTACCTGCAGTTGTTGATTTCTATTTCTGACTCTCTTTTAATAGATTCATAAGTTAGTGTAAGCAGAATCTTACCTGGCATGTCTTGGATATCCTGGATTGTGAGAACCATTTTAGGTCTTTATGTTATCTCTCATTGCCAATACAATCGAATGTCACTGCTTGTGTCAGATGAGGTTTCTAGGTAACTACAATCTAGAAATTAAGTCATCTTGAAACTTTTTTTTGTTAATTTCTTTTATAATATTACAATTATTAGAATAAAAGTTATTCAGAGAGGTTTAGAGTTGAGCGATATTTCCCCCTTTAGTCATCCTTAGGAGGTTTTCCTCAGGAAAATACTTAAATCTTTGAACATATATTGATAAATAGGATTCTTCCCAATAGAGAAGTTGTAAGGATTATATGTCTGAGACTGAAATCTATCATTTTCAGATTTCTGGTCTTATGGAGAGAGTGAGTTCATTGTTCTATATCGTTCATCATGTTTCTCTTTATCAATATGTCACTCTATCTGCTAATGAATTATCTCTTCCAAAATGGCATTAATTTTAGGAAATACAAACTTTATTTCCACTTGAAATTGCCTTTTAGCATGTGGATGTCAAACGTGCAGAAGTTTCAAAGTGATCTTTCTTTTGATGAGATGATCTTCTATGACAAAACTAAATTCAACTACTTTTCATGTTAAACAGACCGGGATCTTATGATAAAAAAGGACTTCTGTCTGACCCACTAGAGGGAGGAGCATTGTTTCCTGTTAGAAAATCCCAAGATGCAGCAGTTGGTGATCTTGTACGTATGCTGAAGAAAGCCCCACCTCTTCACCAAGACTTCAGTTCAACTAGCTCATCAGCCTCTAGGCCAGAGCTGTGGAGAAACAGCATCCAAGAGCCAGATAAAATCTCTGAAGCCATGACACTTACACATGCTGCTTCTCCAAGTATCCCATCTTCTAGGCTTAAGACAACTGCTGATGCTTTAGAAGAACTCCGGGGTTACAAAGAAATGAAAAACTTGCTCCTCGCTCAAGGTGACAAGTCTTACTCCTCTGCTGGTCACACTTCTAAAGGAGAATCCTCCAGCAAGGCTTAATCTGAGTTTTGAAGTATTTTGTTCAGATTAAAACTTTTGCACATATGTATAGTTTTAAAGATGTTTTCTGCTTTATGTACATAGATATGCAAACACATAAGTTCTCCATGAGGTTGGTTTTATGTTGCAAGAGCAAGGATTGGTATATTGGCCTGTAAACTCTGTAAATATCATCCTTTTCGCTCCCAGATTCTGGTAACTGTATAACCGTATAAAATAGCAAGAGTAGGTTTCATGCAGGATTCCCTTTAGTGGGACTTCCAAAAGCAAAATTATAGCAATCTGTTTCACGTGCAACCAGCACGATTGCAGCCTGTCTGTTTTAAATTGAATTATATTTGCAATTTCAATCCAATATATCTAATTAACGATGTTACTTGATGCTTAATAATTCATGGATGAAACTGAAAAATGACATTACCTGATTCATGGCTCTGTTAACACCATTCTTCAGGGGATTTGCAGAAAGGTAACACTGGAAGGTATTAATATCATACAAGTGGGCAATTGGATGATCAGATAATATGAGTTTTACATCCTAACATTATCAGTAGTAAAAAAGTAGTTCAAATCATCAAATAAACTGCACATGTAAAATATATATGTTTCAAGTAATTACATAAACTGTTGGTATATACTAATGTTGGACACTCTACAACAAATCAAAAAATAATGCGTTCCTTGGAGGTTCCTACTGTCCCATTGCGCTAACGTCCACTATATTTGGTCTTCATCATCCGTTTTTTAGTTAGCGGCGCAGGAGCATCCGAACGAGTGCCTTGCTGCTTGGGAAGATCTTTCAGTTCGATTACCCTGATCTTCTTCCTGCTCTCTTGAATTCCTTTGTATTGTTCTACAAGTTTTCTCTTTGAAGCCTCAAACTTGTCTTCGAACTTGTTTTCCGCGACCGAAGGTTTATTCTTGAGTCCCTCAGGAGTACTCTTCATCGGCTCTCCAATCTTTCTGTCTTGATGAACAACTTTTCCGTTTGGAGAGCTGTTACTGGTTGCCTTATTGTTCACTGCAGTCGACCCAACCTTTCCGATCATCACACTTCCGGTGCTCTTGAGCGTTTTGGCCTGTTCTTGGTCCTTTTTCACCGCTGCTTCAGTGGTGGTGTTCTTGGGTGCGGCTACCTTCAAGCGTATGATCTGGTGCCGTTTTCTCTCAACCGGCATGACAGGGACAGCTACCTCGTCCGCGATATTTGGCTTTTGGGTTGAAAGGACAGGAATAATGTCGGTGTTTCTAACAGAGTGCGCAGCCATGTAACTACTGCCGCTTGCAATTGCATCGACATCCTTTCCCTTTCCGTCTGTGGTCCTGGGTGCATGAACATTCACCGGTGCTTCAACATTGGCGATGTTGAAAGTCGGCGGTACCTTGAAGCGAAAAACGAGGGGTCCACTTCCCGGTAGCGCAGCCTTTTGTGTTCCGAGAGGAACAACACAGTGATCAGAAGGGTCGCAGAAACTGTGAGGGTGGAATCCGAAAACAGGGCCAGCCATATTTGATGGGTGGAACTGTAGAAGCAGAAAATTTAGGTATGGATGATGGTTGAGGCAAGAAATTAGGAACGAAAGGAAGTATTACACAAGATGGAGATTAGGGTTTTAATCATAGAAATATATAGAGTTTACTGATTTAATCCAGAATGAACTAGGAGTACTAATGTTGTTCGGATTAATTGAAGAAGAGTAACAAAAGCACTAATTTTCTTCGGAAGCAAGTAAACCCCCTTTTGAATAAACCTTGTGAACAAACCGTGTCATCTCTGTCCTAATCCTCATCCTCATCCTCATCCTCTAGTGTGAGACCTACAGATAAGTGGTTCAACATAGCATTGAGGGAGAGCGAGTAATCTTGAACGCACCATGGTTGATGTGATATTGGAGCAGAGGCCAGTAGATTAGAATCCACTGAATTTTTCTTCTAAAAGGAATCCTGTTAGGAATTTGTCATCAGAAGTGAGATATCCGCCTTGTTGCAGTTCTGATAAAGAGGAATTAGGATCTGAGGCAAAGAGTGAAAAGATCATAAAGATATGGATAGTGCAGTCTGAAACTGAAAAGGTTAGGGGTTCTAGTTCAGGAAGCAGGAGGTCTAGTATTAATACTTTGCCAACATTGTCTAAGAAAGCAATATTGCTGTTGCGGTCATTGTATGTGACTGTAGGCCTTTACCTGCTTACAACCATTTTCAAGACCTCAATTGTTCTGCTCAAATTCATGCCTTTAAGCTTGTTCCTAAGGTGTCCTCTTTTGTGGAGCTCTTCACTTGTAAAGAAAGAAGAAGCAGAAATGCAGCGTTTTGGATTTACACCTGCAGACACTTCCAGTGGTGGGCTTTGCCTTTCAGTGTTTTACCGTTCATCACTCTTGGATATAAGCTCCGAGTCATCCACCCCCTTGTGTTCACAATTTCTATTAGATTATGTTGGAAGCCCATTAGCAGATCCACTGAAGAGGTTCCCCCATGTTCCTTTGTCACATGGCTCTACATCCTCTCCCATTCTCAAGGAGATAGCTGATGTTTTGAAAATTATAAGGTCTCTCCATCATCTTTGCCATTCTCACCTCCACCAACACATTTAGAATCACATGCTTTGGTTTCTAATCCAAATTCCCACTGTTTCGCACCCTTTAGCTTGCCCCTCATCCTCCTGAGACATCACTAGCTCATAAGAAGAGTAGGAACTTTGATGAGTACCGTCTTTCCCCTACTTTTTCTCCCTCTCCCTCACCATCACCGCCAATCTATGTTCCTGGGAATCATCTGCCGAAGGCTCTTTTATGTTCTGAAAGTGCTCCAGTGAACGTACCTGGTCCTAAGCTTGCTATTTCCACTGCATTGTCCAACAGGCAAAGTTTGCTCCCATCACCTCCCTGTAAGCTTACAAATCCCCATACTTCTGAGGCTGATAATACTGTTGGTCCAATTCAAATTGGTGCAACACTCGATAAGATATTTTATCTTCTCAGCATTGTTATCTTGCAGTTTCAGGAGTAATATTTTATAAAGGGTTTCTTTTTGTCTGTTGTAGCTATTGTCTTTTGGGAGAGAAGATGGTAGAAGAACATCTGGGGTGAAGATATCTTCCAACAGCTCATCGCAGATTTCATTTTTGCAAAGTTCTAGTAGGTCCTGCCAGGATGATTTTGATGACATCGAGTTTCTTTCCCTTTTGATGTGGAGGATGATGATATCACAGATCCAAGTAGCAGGTAATACATAGAAATCATCTAGTAAATTCTACTTCTCAGTTATTTTAATCAAATAGTTTACTGATTCCCCAATGTGTTTCTGTACGTAGCATCTTGCTTTCCACTAGTTAGGGATTTTTTTTTGGCCCAATTAACTTGTTGCAGCTTTGTAGGATATATTATAGACGAGAGGGCAAATTAGATGAAAAAATTGTCTCAGTAGTGTGTCTAGAATGTGATATTCTGCTTATGCAATTAAGGGTCATAATAGCAGGGAAACAGATCATATTGCATTGCCCTCATAACTCATAAGGTATTTGTTTTCAATCAGAACAACACCTCTTGATTTGCTTCTCAATTGTCTTGATTCTAATTGTTGTTAATTTTACATCTTTTAAAGGCAAGGAGTGATCTTGTAAACACTCTGTTTATACGTGTTGCATGATGAGGTCTTATCAGTTGTTTGTGATTTGTGCGTGAATGGGACTTCTTCTGAAGTAAAATTCTTGTAGCGGTTTCTTGTCTCAAATCATTTAGGTTCAGGGTTTGATTCTGTGTCTTTTATGCCACCGTTGTGTTCTAGTCATTTAAGAAGTGAAACGTTTTTAGTTCTCCATTTGTTTTTGCATTTGTCAGATTTTCCTTCTTGATGAAATTTAAATATTTCTGGTCTCTCTTTAGATCTGATGTTAGCATAAAAAGATGGCCTTTCTAAACAATTCAATGTCATTTTGACTACAAATTATGAATTTTAACTTTTTTGCCTCTGAAGCTGCCTACTCCGCAAATAATTATATTTATCTCATTTGTTAAAGGCTTATATCTGCTCTTTAAAGTCATCCAAAAATCACTTATGCCTTAAGCTGTTAGATAATGGGTATGTTAAGGTTCCACATTCTGTCATCCCCTCATATCATATGCATGCCATGTAGAAATTTAGGCCTAGCATTTGTGGTAAAAACAAAAGCTCAAAAGCTCAAAAGCAAGACAAAGGGTAACCAATCATAAACGAATTACCAGAAGTTGTTTGGTTTTAAATTTGTTCTGTGTTGGATAATTATCTTTCCCCAATAGTTTAAGCTTTTAGGTGACAGCTACAACCATGTATGTCAAGCTGTCACATGATTTGCACAATTAAGTCTACCTTTTACTTTTGAGGAAATAAAAAAATGGTGGGGCTTAAATTGATGATATTTTGTACACCTTTGGAGTTTGGAAGGGGGGAACAGCATGGCTAGATAACCATAGAGAATTTTCTGGTAGGGTTTTATGTAGCCAGCAACCATTGTAATTGTACTTTTTCTGTTTGTACTAACATGTAATGGTTGTTGATGTGTTAACAAGATATTTCATTTGGATACATTTTTCTTAACTGCAGTTGTTGATTTCTATTTCTGCCTCTCTTTTAATAGATTCATAAGTTAGGATAAGCAGAATCTTAATTGGCACGTCTTTGATATCCTGGATTGTGAGAGCCATTTCATGTCTTTATGTTGTCTCTCATTGCCAGTAAGATCGATTGTCACTGCTTGCGTCAGATGAGGTTTCTAGATAACTACCATCTAGAAATTAAGTCATCTTGCACTTTTTTGTTAATTTCTTTTGTAATATTACCATTATTAGTATAAAGATTATTCAAAGGGAGGTTTAGAGTGTAACAATATTTCCCCCTCTAGTCATCCCTGGAAGGCTTTCCTCAAGGAAAATGCTTGAGCATTTTCCAAGAACCAGATCAAATCTCTGAAGCCATTACACTCAAACATGCTGCTTCCCCAAGCGTCACATCTTCTGGGCTTCTTGTTTCAAAGACAACCGCAGATGCCTCAGAAGAATTCTGGGGTTACAAAGGCCCGAAATACTTGTGCCTCACTCAAGGTGGCAAGTCTTACTCATCTGCTGGTCACACTTCTAAAGCAGGATCCTCCAGCAAGGCTTGAGCATAAATTTGAAGTATTTTGTTCAGATTGAAACTTTTGCACATATGTATAGTTTACAGTTTAAGAGATGGCTAAGATTGCTACACCATGGAAGATGTTTTCTGCTTTACGTTCATAGATATGCAAACACACGAGTTCTCCATGAGGTTGGTTTTATGTTGCAAGAGCAAGAGTTGGTTTATTGGCCTGTAAACTCTGTAAAGAGCATCTTTTTCCTTCTCAGATTCTGGTAACTGTATAACTGTATAAAATAGCAAGAGTTTGTTTTGATGCAGAAATCCCTTTAGTGGGACTTCCAAAAGCAAAATTATAGCCATCTGTTTCACTTGGAACCAGCAAAATTGCAGCGAGTTTGTTTTGAATTGAATTATATTTGCAATTTCAATTCAAGATCTGTAATTAATGATGTTACTTGATGCTTAATAGTTACTAGAGGAATTGAAAATTGACATTACCTGATTTATGGCT